TATGATTTTAACATTTTATTCTTTAATAAATCTGATACAGCTGCTAGTTAAAGAAGGAAGACTTTCTGTCTAAATCCTAACAAGAAGGAAATGTTTCATGCACCCCTTCAGTTTGAATGAATCTGAATCCAGTTCAAGGGTTTAAATGTTTGATTAGCTTTATGTTTAATGAAATGTTGAGCTGCCATTTAAATGTCACGCTTTGAGTTGTTGCTTTTGAACCTGCCTGTGGTAAAGAGAGAAAACCCTCTTCCTCCTCGCTGCATATTTTGTTTAATGAAATAAAAAGATTTGATAAGTCTATGCAGTCTCTTATGATGTTTTAGCGTGTCAGGAATAATCTTTATCCTTCATTAAAAGGCTACAAACATAAATCCCTTATGTTTCATTTAATCTCCCTCAGGAGTCTGATTAGTTGAAGCAGTCAGTAAATATCTCAAGGTTTGGAGAAATATATAATATATAAATAATATTACAGCTACTTATCTATAAGGTCAGGTTTGTAAAGGGTTAAATAATAATAATAATACATTTTATTTAACAGCGCCTTTCTTGACACTCAAGGTCACTTTACAAATAATACAAAAAAATAAATAAAAAGAGATGAAAATACAGATACAGGAACATAAAAAACCAAAAAACAATCATGGATAGGGTACGACGTAACATACTGATACCAATAAAACAGTTTTTCATGGCTCTTCTTCATCCTTTTGATGCTGAAATCCACCATCGCTGTAAAACTTCTGTACTATTAGCCTGAAGAACTGAGATTAAATAATGTTGAAGTCCTTATTAAAAGTTGTTTACTTTAAGAAAAGTGATGTCTGGGCAAAATAACAGGGAAAGGGCGCTGAGCAGAGGTTTTAAGTAATAAATTACAAATACTTTGTTACCTTAATTAACTAGAAATTTTCTCTACTTTACTGGAGTAATTTTATAAAACTTTTTAGTTCTACTCCTTAAATTTTAAAAATAGACTCATTAGTTTTGTCATTTGAGCTAATTTTCATTATGGCCTGATGGTATTAAAAAAAAATAAAACCCATCAAAATAATTAGTTTCATTCAAACAATTGGTGCTGCCCCAACTTGTTGTTTACCACAAACCAAACTAGTTTTCCAAGATGATGCAAAATAAATTTTGACACTGTTAACATTAGTTAAAAAAACTGAGAAACTTAAGTGTAAGGAAGTTATCGTCCAGAATTTTAGAAAAATTATCCTTTTTGTTTGTCGAATAAGGTGAAGATGGAGCGGGAGATCGGTGCGGCGTCTGCTGTGAAGCGGGCCCTGTGGTGGTGAAGAGAGAGCCGAGCCAAAAATCAAAGCTCTTGATTTACGGGTCGATCTACGTTCCTACCCTCATCTATGGTCAAGAGCTTTGGGTCATGACCGAAAGAATGATGTCCCAGATACAAGCAGCTGAAATGAGTTTTCTCCGTAGTGTGTCTGGGCTCTCCCTTAGAGCTCAGTCATCCGGGGAGGAGTCAGAGTAGAGCCGCTGCTCCTCCACATCAAGAGGAGCCAGTTGAGGTGGCTTGGGCATCTGGTTAGGACGCCTCCTGGACGTCTCCCTGGTGAGGTGTTCCAAGCACGTCCCACTGGGAGGAGACCCAGGACACGCTGGAGGGACTATGTTTCTGGGCTGGCCTGGGAGCGCCTTGTGGCCTCCCCAAGTGGCGGGAGAGAGAGATGTCTGGGCCTCCCTACTGAAGCTGCTACCCCCGCCACCCAACCCCAGATAAGAGGAAGAAGATGGATGATCCTTTAAAAGGGTGGTGCAGTAAAGCTTCTGTCGTAACATTTTTCCCTTCATGGTTTACTTTAATATTTTAAATTGTTTTAAAATGTTAGTTTAACACTTTTACTTTGGTAAAAAGCTTAAGTTGATTCTCTAACTTCTACAAAAGTTTTTTTAAACAGAAGGATTTATACTTCTACTTGTTTAATAAATATTAATACCTTTGACACCCTGAGAAGGAAACACCTTCAGTGGAGTGGAATGTTTTCAATATATACACACAGGGCCTTCTCATAATATTAGCATATTGTGATAAAGTTCATTATTTTCCATAATGTTATGATCAAACCTGAACATTCATATATTTTAGATTCATCACACACAAACTGAAATATTTCAGGTCTTTTATTGTCTGAATGGTTTTGGCATACTTATTAAAGATAAGTACAGAATTCATGCTCTTTTCAGAACTAGGTTTTGTGTTTTATGGGGTAAAGAGAAAATTACGTCTCTCTGCAAGTCATCTGGGAGTCCTCATTGAGATCAAAGATAAATAACTATTTTTAATAAAAACTTATTAAATGATCAATTTATGTTCATATTAGTATTTGTGAATATCATTTTTATGCCTAATAATTATTGATAAAAGTAGGTTAGTAATGACAAAGAAAAGATGTTGGCCCAAAACTCAAACCTGAAAGAATATTATTCACTGTACCTTTTATGTAGAAACCACGAATGTTTAAATATATGTGTCTATTTGTTAGCAAAGCCTGTGGGAAAGTATAATTTTTCTTTATTTAGAAAATATGGATGTTTTGCTCGTTAATTTTCCTGTAGGAACAGTGTAGATTGACAGTGAGGTTTTAGTGCCTATCCACTATCGGCCCCCCCTCAGTGTACATTTTTTATTACCTGGCCACCCTTTAAAAAATTTTCTGGCTAGATTTCCAAATGACCTGCAGAACTGAGCAACAGTCCAGTGCTGCTTCTCTGTAGCCCAGGTCAGGCGCCTCTGCCGGTGTTTCTGGTTCTAAAGTGGGTTGACCTGGGGAATGCGGCACCAGTAGCCCATTTCCTGCACACGCCTGTGCACGGTGGCTCTGGATGTTTCTACTCCAGACACAGTCCACTGCTTCCGCAGGTCCCCCAAGGTCTGGAATCGGCCCTTCTCCACAATCTTCCTCAGGGTCCGGTCACCTCTTCTCGTTTTGCAGCGTTTTCTGACACATTTTTCCTTCCCACTGAGGTGCCTTGATACAGCAGCACTCTGGGAACAGCCTATTGGTTCAGAAATATCTTTCTGTGTCATACCCTCTTGCTTGAGGGTGTCAGTGATGGCCTTCTGGAAAGCAGTCAGGTCGGCAGTCTGACCCACGATTGGGGTTTTGAGTGATGAACCAGGCTGGGGGTTTTAAAGGCCTCAGGAATCTTTTGCAGGTGTTTAGAGTTAATTTATTGATTTAGATGATTAGGTGCATAGAGACCTTTTTCATATGCTAATTTTGTGAAATAGGAGTTTGGGATTTTCATGAGCTGTATGCCAAAATCATCCATATGAAGACAATAAAAGACCTGAACTATTTCAGTTAGTGTGCAATGAATCTAAAATAGATGAATGTTCAGGTTTTATCAATAAATTGTGGAAAATAATTAACTTTATAACAGGAGGGAAATAAACCAAGTGTGAACATCAACGCTAATAAAGGTGTTCTGACATCAGATCAGGATGCCGCCATGTGGAGGGTTCTTAACAGGTCCCACTGGGAAGAGACCCAGAGGGGATGTTTGGTGGGACTGGATAATGATCAACGGATAAATCCGAGAAAAGTTTAGTGGCTACAGCCAGATGAAAAAAGGTTTGTTAATAATGTGAAAAAAACTGGTATGGAGAAACCACTGGATAACCGAAACAGTAGAGTATTATGGAAAATGGGATGTTTTGCCCAGTAACCTTGCATTTTTGTTAATTTAGTCATTTAAAAAAAGGGTGGAAATTTGTTTGATTTATTCAGAAGATAATTCAACTCCATCTTTATAAGATCACTGAGTTTAAAAAAAAAATTCAGTTAAAGTGAAACTAATTTGCAGTAAAATACATATTCCTATTCAATTTGCCATTTACTGCTAATGAAATAAAAAATCTTGACGTAACTTAAGCATGTTTTACAAAGTAAACTGGTTATTCACCGCATGCAGTATAAAAGCTAATGCTACTTATTATAATGCATTGCTTCATATTGAGATTAAGGCCTTTATTTTGAAAGGATGGCAATGTTTCCACCAAGCTTAGCGAGTTCAAGGATCCTGGTCAGGATCTAGAGCTGATTTCAGATTAAACGGGCAACAGTCCCTTCAAATATCCGATTTCTCTGATGAATGAAGTCAAATATCACATCCAAGCAGCTTTTTGATTGCAAAGCTGCACAGATTGACGTATGCAGCTATTAACCCCAGGAAATCTACGGAAAGAAAGAGATTTGCAAGCAACAGGAATAGCTGCAGACATCAGGAACTGTTACATTAAATTAGAAACTGATAAAAGCCATTTACCTCGGCTAAGGAGATAAAGGAGTGGACTTTAGCTCAGGGGTCCAAAGTCCTCTTCAAAGATTAGATTAGAAACCAGTTCTTAATTCCAGAGACAGACTGGAGAAGTTTTGAATGATTTAAGGTCATCTGCTGGCTTTTGTCAGCTTTTATCATGAAGATATAATTTTTGTATTGGCTCAATTCGCTTTAGCTTAAAAACTTCATTTCCTTAAACAATTGTTGCAGCTGAACTATATTTGCTAACCTTCAAAAACTCTTGTGGATGATGAATTTTATTCAAATAAAAATGACATGTTTTTTTTTTTTTTTAAACCAAATAGGAGCAATTCTAAATATAACCATGAATATCTATAATTTTAAAAAGTTTTCAAGATTAACAGAGTAGAATGGAGCCCTGGGTTTTGGCATATTTTTCCACTTTGAACAAAAAGATGCTGAAGGTTATATCATAAAATGACTGAAGATCCCAATTTGTCTAATTCACTGCTTCACAGAAACATTAAGCTTCATCTTGCTGGTGAAGATTCTGTCATCCAGGTCAAGGTGATTCCAAAAAAGTAAAAATATAAGAAATAAAAAACAAAAAACAATCCACTGGACATTTCACTTTCTCACCATCTTTTTAAATCAGGAATAACCATCCTGTGTATGTATAAAAAATAACAAAAAATTAACACAAAAAAGAAAAAAAAAAAAAAAGGTGCAGTACTTTTATTTATGTTTAATGAAATTAACCTGTTCAAGTATTCTTGAGAAAAAATACATATTTATAAAACACCAACACTGTAACTAACTGTACAGGTACAGACATCTCCTCTATTTCAATAAACGCAGCTTGAGTGAAACCAGGAAGATCACAATGTACAGATGGACTCAGTTTTGTTTTCCAGCACTAATTTATGAGGAATTCTGAACTATTTACACTTAGACCAAAAAAGAAAAAAAAAAAAGAAAAAAAAAGAAAAAACCAAACCACACAGGTTTGTTATTGACTTTCAAAAACCGTAAGTATAGATTTTCTTAATTATTTGAATACTTCTTATGAAATGAATTTCTCCCCTGGTTCTAACTAAGCAGAAGCGTTAGTAATAACACTCTAAGTTGCTTTGATTCTTTTCCCATTCCTTAGCTTTTATTCTGTAATCTTCTGCCACGGCTTGTAGGGAAAGAGCCCAGCACCGCCTGCTGTGGCGCATCATGTCTGTTGAAGACTTGAGTTCTTTTTGGATGCAGAATAAGGAGCCATGAAGGGAAAGTGGATGAGGGAAAAGCATCCTGTCCTTTCCTCAGGCTGTAGAGAGAGCAGGAGCAGCGTTGACCACAGGAACAGCAGCGCTTTCAGAGGGGCTCACCTCCATCGGACAGTCTTTCTCACTGGAGGGGATCTTTTTCTTAGGATCTGCAGTCAAATCAAGATTGATGATCTGGTTTAAAACCAAAGAGTTTGCATTTGTTTCTGGTTCTCTCAAGTAACTCACCGCTAACATGGGAGATGATAACACAGTCGTCATCATAATCTTCCTCAGTGTCCGCCTGGAAGCCGTCCGCCTCCACAGCTTCAGCCTAACGGATGTCAACATAGACGGTTTTATTTTAAGGTGCCAGCAGGAACCTAAAAATGCAGCCGGAGCTGATCGAAGGTCTTACCTGCTCAGGATCGTTGCATCGCTTCATAAACCTGGTGATTGACATGCTGCCGGCGCTCTTCCTCTTGTTGGAGGCTGAGTGGGCGGCGGCGGTTTGAGGCGTAGTGGGCGAGTTTCCCTGGGAGCCGGTGGCGGCCTGGGGGTCTTCCCGGGAATCCTCCCGAGCTCCGGTGGTGAGGTAGGTCCACTTGCACGGAACTGGAAGAGCTTCCTGTCCGAAGCGGGACAGGACATCTGCGTGCACGTACCAGCAGCAGCGCTTGTAGGTGGAGCGCTTCTCGTAAACGGCGTTGCTCTTGATCAAGCGCTTCAGATGCATTCTGATGGACAGGTTTGACGTTAACGCAGAGAAAATAGGCGGTTAAGATGCTTTTACTTAATGAGACTCTGCCTCACCTGGATGGAATATTTTCTGGGGGGCTCTGAGGGTTGGACAGCTTAGAGGGGGACGATGATGAGGACCTCTGCTGACGGCGAAACTCCTGAAACTCAGTGATGATCACCTTACTGCTGTTGAGATTTCCGTGCAGCAGGGGGAGCAGCTGGCCCAGCACTGAGGGAGGATTCATGTTATTAAAAGGTTATAAAGAAGTTGGTGATGAGGAAGGCTAAACATTTTACTGAACACGATGATGTTGGGAAAAACCAACCTAATGGGAACCAAACCAGCAGATTAACGGTTATCCGACTTCTGCTCCTCTTTCCACAGATCATTCAGTAAAAGTGTGCGACTTACGCTGCTCTTCTCGTTGTCCTTTCTGCCGCAGCTCTTCAGCTGTAGGGCTGTTGTCCACAGTGGGCAAAGGTTCAATCAGACACACAGCATAAGGCTGGAAGGAATCCTGAGCGAGTCCCTCCTCCTCCCAGACGCAGCCTCTCACCACGGCCTCCAGCACCTTCATCTTCTTCTTGCTGGACATCAGTTCGTCCCACTCCCTGGCTTTCAGTTTCTGACGCAGCTTTTGCTTTTCTAGGTCTCCACCTTCCTGAAAAAACAGTTGGTACGTTTCAGGTTTCTATAATTTTCTCCTGATTTTAAAACATTTCCATGCAAATCTTGTCCTTAAGTTAAAACCTGAACATAGTTGGATTCCATTGAACTAAAGACCAGAACCCCTCAGACTAATTCCCTGAAACAAAAACCCAAAGAGGAAGCTTTAATCCTACCTCTTCCTCCAGCGCTCCCTCATCATCTGAGAGATAGCCATGAGGAACAAAGAAGCCATCGTCGTCGTCATCATCCTCACCCCCTTCCTCTTCCTCCTCCTGTAAATAAAGTATTTCTTTAGTTGTTGTGGGGTTATAGAAATTATTTAACATCTTGAATTTTATTAATTGAAGACCAGTTTTCAACATGAGGAAGCAAACATCCTGAATGAATTAAGTTGAGGCGGTAAAAAGCGAAGAGCTGGTTTCAAGCATCAAGTATAGCTGTAGATTATTAGCATCATCATTCAGATAGTTTAGCAGAGACGTATTCGAAGATCTGCTGGAGATAAATAACCCTCCTTCCTTTCCTTTAAAGCCGACAGTAAAACAAAAACAGCACTGTGGCCTATCTTTAGTCTGAGGAGTAAAACTGAAGATCAGGGAGTTGAATGCAGCCAAACCTGTTCCAGCTTAACAACAACAGCTAGAAATATTTATGCATTTTACTGAAGCCTTTTATTCTATGGAAACAATGATTATATAAATATGCAAACAGAAAAAACCATCAAGCTCCTAATTTTCAAATTTTAAAGAAAGAGCAAATTGTGAAACACCATTAACAAAAAGCTGTATAACAAAACCAGCTCTAGTAATATTCCCCCAGTTCTCCCGAAGATGCTAACGAACAGCTACTGTAATCTACTGATCTAGTTGCTGATGAAGATT